AAAAGGGGGGTTTAGCGGGGGGGGGGGGGGGGGGCACGTACGAAAGTTTCTCGAGTTGTTTACCATGAGCTCGTGCGGGGTGGCTGGGTGTGAGGCGCAGCCACTCAAAACTTGAAGGTTCTTAGCTCAGACGGCATCTAACTCACGTCGTCCGCGACATATCGCAACAGGCAGAACACCGAATGTGGCCTTCAACACTCTTGTAGGCTCCATTGAGAGGGATAGAGATGCGCAAAGGTTGACTCCATAATTGATCATTTCGTGGGGTTTACTTGAAGACCTAGTCGCTCGCGATGTTTGGTGTAAACAAACTGTTTCCACCTTGCATTGTATTCGATATTTGTACGGAAAATGCACAATAGGCGGATGATCCCCTCGGAGACACCAGGCCTTGGCTTGGCGCCCGGGTTGCGATAGCAATTCATACTTGCAGCGTCGCGTGCGAGAGTAGCCACCATGGTTAACAAGCCCTTCACTTTTGCCGCTTACTCTTATCTTGTATTTCATACTACAAAACGTTAGGCCATCCATTCCTCCTTGTAAGCCTTCCCGCGAAACTGTTCGTCCGCTCTCCCTCTGCGGCTCTTTCTCCCTTGCAAGTACCACCGCTTCTCTCATCTCCATGAAAATCGCGTATTTTGTTTTTACTATATAGAGCAAAAGTATGGCCTCTCCTAACAACAGTTTCGCACCTGGAGAAGACAGACTTGTTTGGGTTCGGATGGGTCCGTGCAAGGCAGCGTCGTCGTCACTCGCGTCGTGCCGTCGTGCTGCGGAGTCTTCACCCTCAGCATGAAGTGCTTTTTGTGTATATTTGTGACGACAACGAGGCGCAGGGAGACAGATGCGGAGGGCACGGAGATGTGGATGGGGAGTGCTCGAATGTCCGCCTGCCTGGGTTGCTTGGCAGTTGTCCACACTTCCCTGCCGAGATGGAGCACGCTGCTCCTGATGATATGCTGCATGTGCTCAGCACCCTTGTTTCGCTAACATTGCTCCCTTCCTTTTTCTTTGCTCTTTGTGGATGGACCATGTATTTCTCCAGCAGGACAGAAATATTCTCGAGAGTTAACTACACATGCCCATTTTTATCCTCTGGTTACGTAATTTATCTCCGACTTAAAAAATCATCTCTCCTTTCCACGTTGCACGGATTATTTTCTACCGCGAATGAGTTGTGCCCCCTTCTGTCGAGCCGGTGCTTGGATCTGTTAAAAGCAAAAAAAAACTCTGTAACAGGCAGCAGGAGAATCTAATCGTTTGTCGAAAGCGGCAGATACAAACTGGGGAAGTGTACAGGGAAAAAGTGGTCATCCCACGCAAGCCGAGAGAGAGAGAGAGTTTTTCTTGATGGCGGCTGAGTCAGTCACCGTGTTGCTTGCGCGATCCCGTGCCATCAGAGGGCGGAGAGATTTTCACCATCCCCAGGATGACAGCAAGCCGTTTTTCGTACGCAATATAATGAATGACCAAGATTCAGTATTGTCTTGCGTTAACACTTAACACTACCTCGCCGTCGGAATGCAGAAACTCTCAATGCGCTGGTGGACGTTGTAGAGCGTTCAAAAAAGTTCGGTTGGACTGCAAGAAAAGTGCAGGTAGAAATACCGTGACGGCTATCAGATGATCAGATGTAGCACTACATTAGCGGTCCCACCTCGATATCACAGTCGTTCCAGGACATGGAGATCGACCTCGGGATGCCTCCGAAGCCTCCACCTGCTTCGACAACCTCTCCTGTCCACACCTAGGACCATCACAGCACGGAAAATTTCGGCAGGTGGAGAGGAAGTGGAAAAACGCTATACACCCGGACGAAGAGAGCACAGTTTGAGGGCGTGCACGCGCACAGGAGACAACGCTACAATATGAATTACAACGGTCACATGCATTCGGCCTTCTCACCATGCGGTTGACGTTATCGCTGAAGGCATTGCCTGAAGTGACCCTGAAGGATTTAATCTTGGCGGTCACCTCCTGTTTGGGCACCGGAACAAAACTTGAGCATTGATTAACACTAGCAACAGGGCTCTCGCTGTCAACACCCGACGATGAGGGAACATAAATACTACAGACGTTACCAGGGGCAGGGGCACCGAAATCGATTGTTCCATCAAACCTTTCAGAGCTATCAGATCTGTTGTGGACGGGTTTGGTCGAACAAAAGAAGTGGGGGGTAGGGGAGGGCATAGTGCTATATATTTACTGTCGCGGGGTTGAAGGCCGGCAGATGCTCGAGAGGTAGCGGCTCGGTGATTCCTTCGCGCGTCTACTGGCAATAACTTCTGATTCTCAACAAGGAGATATTTATCTGGCCCCGACGAGCCCTTATCCAGGACATACCTCGGAGTTGGTGAGGTTTAACCGCAACTCGGGAGCATTTTCTGCCTGCCGCAGGGATTCGCAATTAAGCACGCCCTTTTCGAAACCCGCAACTGCAGTGGTGGTTGGTACCACCCAGGAGTGATATTGGAAATGATTGGGAACGAACGACAAACACACGCGCGCGGGCAAAGAGAGATCCGAGGGTATCCGCAGGCCGCGTTGTTGTCTGTTGATATTGTGGTTTATTGTCAAACGCCGTAAAGTGAAGCGAGGTTCCATAAACAAACGGGGCGTAGTCACTTGTGCACACAGCTATTCGATTCCGCTGAAGAGATAAATGTGGGACCGGGTGGAACTGTAGTCGAGAGTCTGAAGCCTTGAAGAAGAACACAACAAGAATGTACCAATATTCCATGGGAGGTGAAGCGCAAGTCCTGATTGCAACGCAGCCGTTCTGGCTTTCTCAACCCATTGAGCGAATGGGTGGTCCGATACTTTTCTGCAGTACTCGATGTGGCTAAGTCCTGTGAGAAGTGCAGTCGTGCAATAATGATGCGAGGGGTTTCACGTGTTACTACACCTACTACGCTGTACAAACAGAACGACAGAGGATGGCAACTTCCTCTCGACTCTCACTCGTCACGGCGAAGCGAGTTCTAAACTCAATCTTTCTCTGTTTCACCCCATTTTCAACCATCCCGGTACAACTACCCAACGATCTTCTCTCAACCGAACGTACGGCCCATCCATGTGACATATGTTCCTCCCCATACTCCAAGTTGCCGAACTACACCCCAAAGCGGAAAGTAGAGCTCCAGCCCAGGCGCTGTCCCATCCCGGTGTGTCGCATAACCGTGCAGGCCACGTATGGATGTATGTGCCTAAACACAGTGTTTATCTTTGGATACACATGACATGACGTACGGAAAACTCACAGTCCTCTTGCTACATCCATCCTTCCTCACCAGTAACATACTCGTCGGCGACGAGTGCTGCGATTATTTCGCTGTTTTGCGTACAGGCCTCATCCTTTGTGCTGGCTGTACAGGCTTGCAGGGCGGCCAAGCCCACCCGAGGGGCACCCTTGCTGCTACCGGCACCTGCTCGCTCCTCCAAAGTAGGGACGCCTCCGCCCAACTCGTAGACAGAACACAAGCAAAGGACTCCAGCGACGTATCCACGGAGAATCATGATCGGAAGGAAATGCCTGCCACCCGACTGGCCACCCAGGAAGCGAGGGTTCCTATTGGCTGTAGACTAAACTGTTTTTTTCCCCGGTAGCTTTCTGACGTTCAAATGGCGAATATTTATGTCGTTGCTTCGACAGCAGCTGCTCTGGTTGCTTTTTCCACGAAGGATGATGTGGATCTTGCGGCGGTCTTGAGTCGTTGAAGATACGAGACGCGGACAAACCACCGACGGTTGGTGCCGATGACGGTTTCATCTGCACATACATGCCTTTCACGAAACTTCGCACCGTGAAACCTCTGTCAAACAATACGAATACATGTAGTCTAGATAGCATACATGTGTACACATCATGTATATATGTACATGGATGAGAGAAACGGTTTAGCCGGTGTGAAGAAAACTGCATACAACTCCGCTGTCTGTCACCGTCGGACAAATAAATCGAACGTACGTGCAGAGAGATACGACGCAAATAAATATTTACCCGGGCATGCATGTTCAAAGGGATACTGTAGTTTGTTGCACTAATGTTGAAATTGAGATGTAGTCTAGACTAGTGTTGGTTGTCGTATTTTACTTGCACAAGAACGAACATCCAACAATAATCCAGTTGTGTTGTTTTCGCTTTCTGTGTTCAGAAATACTGTCGTTTTTCCGAACCCGGGTGTCTACTGTAAATCCAAGGAAAAAAACTCGGGACTCGGGGACAATCAAGAGGTGTAGCACTTTTGTGTCTCTCGACCGTAAAAATAACATTGGTTGTCTACAGAACCACGCTGCCGGTTACTTCCTTTCTTTCCGAGCGGTCTGCTGCCCAGCAATATGGTTTAAATCAATTGACACCCTTTCACTCGCCGATCGCAAACAGCCCTACCTCCATTCCTACAGCAGAAGATGGAGGATAGACAATGATGAATAAATTCATCTTCAAACCATGTGAAATCCTCATCAGTACTAGATAAAGCGTCAACGAGACAACAGCAGTACGAAAATACTTAAGGTCCAATCTCCGTTCTCGCAATATCTACTACTGACGTCGTGTTTCGCCCCCCATCGGATCTTGCTTGGGACGCAAAAGTCTCGTCCGATTTCATGTCAAAGTTGCAGGAAGGCGGCATTTCCCATGTCTCGGTGTTTTTATAGAACCTGTTTTGGTCGGGGAGGCTTTCCGAAATCATCCCCGTCCTGCATCCTGCAATTGCCACAACTGTTCCCGTCGTGGAGAACCCTCGAGGGGGGGTCGGGGGGGGGAGACGACTGGCTTGTTGATGGTCCATGGTGTTTGAGAGAGAAGCAGCCAGATATCGTATGCTCGTTCGCTTTGCCACACTTTGTCCCATGAAAAAACTAACCTGGAGTGTCTTGCCACATGTACCTCGTCGAACAGTGACCACTTTTGAACTGCAGTTGTGTAAAATACGCAGCACGTAAACCGTGCAGCGTCAATCCATATCAATCCATTTCGAGGGCCGGGCGGGGAGAGTACTCATTGTTGCTTGAATCAGTCACTGACTACTACGCAGGTCAACCGCCAAGAATCACCTTCAATATTCTGGTGCTGATCAATACGTGTCCCTGTGTATGTTATTCTGCTACATATTGTATCCCCTTCCTGTTGAGCATCGTGTGGTCACCATCCGGCATCATCTACGGTTCGCCTGTCCTCATCGATACCGAAGGAGCTCGGTGTCCTCTTCGATGGTTTTGACGGCAAAAAGAGCCAGGACAGGCGCGTTCGGGTCTTGATACGCCGTGTGGACGGCCACTGGCACGAGGTTGGCGTCCTCCAGCCTCCTGGCGCACCGGATGTACCTGTTTTGTTGTGTGCGAGACCAAACCAGACACGGACAATCAGTCACGTGGTTGCGACACAAAAACGCCAAACAAGGCCACACCTAATACTCACAAAAAATTAGGCGTTCATCATCCGCTACTGTAGGTACTGTTTCACCGGTTGCCTGTCACAACGCGGTCGATGCATTGGAGTAAGAAATACCCACGAACACAAAAGCACTGGCGGATACCACACTCCTACGACATGAGACAGGATGGGTTACGATGGAATGGGATCAGATGGGACGGGCTGCGGTGGAAAAACAAGAGCTTATTGACAGGATAGTCACATCACGAGCAGGAAAACGACATCAGTAGCAACACGCGGGGGGTGTTGAAAAAAGCGCCAGTGAAATGATGAGCGGGGGCACAGTCGAAGGCGAGCTGACCCCCCTCCCGACTTCCTCTGCCTACTCTACTTTCGGTCTACCGAACATACATATCACAGTCCATCACACACCGCTTGGGGGTATTCTACACCCATCTTGATTACTTGTGCCCACGAGGGTACCCATACGCCTCTCGGTAGACAACGATAAGGAACACTTGGCACTTTCGGCGGCCCTGACCCTCTCCATACAACAAAACCGTGTGGGATACGGAGCACCGGAAGCACTCAGGGGCAGGACACTGGCCACACGGCACACGCCCCAAAGACACTCCATCCTCGTCCACTCTAGCGTACAAGGACCACACCTGGAGATGTTGGCGTAGCGTCGCTGATCCACAAACCTCTCCTGCGGACCCCCGGCGAGCGGAGGATGCGTCGGCTGGACGCGGAATAAATTCGATCCACCCCCGACGCTGCTGCTGCCGCTACTGCTGCTGCTGCTGCTGCTGCTGCTGCTGCTGCTGCTGCAATCAACACCACGGCCATTGCTGCTGCCGCCGTGGTGGTGTGTTTGTCTAAAGTCTCGCTCGGTCCAGTCCCTCACGCGGTGCACGAGGACGCTGGTGCTGTGCTGCCCTTGCTGGTCGACGCTGCCGACCATGTCGCCGGCGAGCACGAGCTGACGCAACACCGAGACACGCCAAATACGCAGTAGACGCCACACAACAAACGAGCCAGACAGGGACAGCAATCATAGGTTATTTGCGCGCACAGACTGACTCAGTAACGTGCAGCAAGCGGTGATCACACACCCATGGAGGGGGCACCGCCGTTTGAACGGACCTTCTACGGAAACTTCGACGTTCGTACCCAAACACGCGACAAATCCGTTTAGTCAACGTGGCTCTCCAGAAGTCGTCAACCGGACAAAGCAACAAAACACAACAGCAGCGCTCACAACGGTTCCTGCGACAATGCAACAACGGCGGGCGGGCTTCGCGGAACACGACGACGGCACTACAGCGGCAATGGCCTAAATAGTGGCCTCCCACCTGCCCGGCTACGGTGCACACGAAGCTCCTCGCCGGGATCTCCCTTGCGGCCGTGACGCCCCACTTCCCGCAACCGTCCAGCACGCGGCGTCTCGATGATCCCAGGTAGAGAACCTAGCCAGCCACAACCGAAACGGCGATGCACTCTCCTTTTAGACCCATGAAAACCGCGAGTTGCTTCCACCTAAACTGCGTCCAAGATCGTGAGTGATCTCAGCAAATAAACAACGTGAAAGCAACACCGCCAAACACATGTATTTATATACTGTTGGGTACAACTGCGAGCGCTACATAGCAGCACAGCGGTCACAGCACCAAACGCAAATAACGGCGGGCTAGTCTCGGGATGCAAAACCTTCTTGAAACGGTAACGAACGCATCGGCAGCAGTAGCCGCGGTCCGACAGAGCCAGCAGCGCGTAAAGAGCACGTCTCATCACAACTGACACTCGCCGCAGGTAAAAAAAACAAACACAGGTAGTGCCCTCCGCTAACGCGATGTAATCATTGCTAGTCTATCCTGGACCCTTATCTGTGAATGGAGATGCATTCGTTGTGTCATAGAGCAAGAAAAAAAAACGAAACAGAAAAAAACAAGCGCTGCAGGCTCGTCTCGAACTCCACCTTGATGTTGCACGTCATGCCCCTCTGCACCAGCCTGTTGCGGCAATCGTCAACGTGGCACCTGCAGTTCACGTTGCACTCGTAGATCTGCGAGGGGTGGCCCTCGTCAAGAAGCCTCCCCTTGCTCGAATACTGCCTTCCTTGCTGGAGACACTCGCAAATTCTGGAGGGGAGGGGGGGGGTAACCTACATTATTTGACGTATGGTACAAGCTTCCATTGAAGGTAATATCGACTCCCGTGGAAGCTGTGCACAGCAGTCATGGCACTTCGTCCGTCGAACAACTCCTCGAAACTTTAAGGTACTTTCATGGAAGCAAGGCAGCCTCCATGAAAGCAACTTCCACGGAAACGTTTGTCAGGCACGCTAGCAGGTAATCTCCATGGAGGGTAACTTGTAAGAACCCAACCCTAACCAACTAACCGTAACCCTATAATGTGGCCCAATTTTATCCTCAAGCTGGACTTGGGTGATATACTTCCATGGAAGTTGTGTCGTGAAGCTTCTACCGAAGTCAAAACTTCTATTACCATGGGAGATGCCCGAAGGTGGGCGTCTTCCATGTAGGTTGGTTGGATTGACTTCCATGGAAACTCACCAAGCGGCCTCAATGGAAATCGCTCGTAAAACATGCCTACCTTACATTCCACCGAAGTTCCCTAAATTTCCATGGAAGCTCGCCAAGTGACTTCCATGGAAGTCTAGTTCAACCAACTTCCATGGAAGTGGTACTGACTTCACACACTTGTCAAACAATATATTGTAATAATAGAAGATCGGACGGACATGTAAACGTTCTCAAGGAGAGGCCAAAGAAGGCATGCGGAGAACGGTGTGGTTTTGTATGCCGACCACGACCCCCCCCCCTGGAGCTTTTCAAGAAGGAGCGGGGGTGAAAACCAAGAAAAACTACAACTGCAATGCTTCTGTGTTGTGATCCAAACCGCGTTGTCGCCGTGCCGCCTGCACGCCCGTCCAAACACCAGAAGCCCACCTCCAACTGCCGCACGGTCCGTCCGCGTGACTGACTACCGTGCACGGTGACGGATGATGACGCGGGCTTGGGGGGGCCAAGAGCGGAGATCGACACACCCTTGGCGGTGCACCTCTTTTGAGAGCTACTGCTGCGGTGCCACGGTGACAGCGTTGCGGCTCACCTTGGGTCTCGGCAGGTTGCTGGGCCGGTGCAGGTGCAGCACCGCTTCTCCCTCTCCGGGCCTTGCCGGACCTGAGCCGACTTGCTGAGAAGGCGGGCGGGAAGGGGCAGGTCGGCAGCGGTGGCTCCGCACATATTCTGTACACACCAGGGGGTTGAGGGGCGCACCATGGCAAGGGCACGCAACCGATCGACCAAAGGCAAAACAAGTTATTTACTACTACATACAACAACCACCACCACCATAATCGATATCAACACGACAACATCGATCGTCTTCAACACCAACGACGAACGTCCCACTGGCCAGCGTAAGGCCAACCCAACAAACTATTCCCTCCCCCCCCCCCTGGTCCGGTGAGAACCCGGCGTGCTCCGTCCCCCCTCCCCGGTGTTTGCCATCGGGGTTGGGTTTTCGTCGCTTGGCAACGACGTTGTAAAACAAGCCACCCCCCCCGGTGTTTGCCATCGGGGTTTGGGTTTTCGTCGCTTGGCAACGACGTTGTAAAACAAGCCCCCCACTCGGTGTTTGCCATCGGGATTGGGTTTTCGTCGGTTGGCAACGACGTTGTAAAACAAGCCAATTCACTTCGTGAACTCGGCAACCAGGTTACCGGGTTTTTTTTTTACCTCGTTTTTTTTTTGGCGGTAACCATAATGGTGGTCGAGTAGATCATGTTGTGCGGGGTCGAGAAACCTCACTCCGCGCAACGGGGGATGATCGCACCACGTTGTGTTAAAATGGTCAAGCTTCCTCGAGGCAGTTACACAGTGCTTACAACTGTCTCTGGAAGTGAAAGCACCAGAAAATAAATTAAGTCATACGTAGCTGTCATCCGTACGCAAGGAAGTAAGCACAAGATGCCGAACACCCTTAGCAGGATGCAGCTCACCCTTCATGCGACTCGCCAAATACCTCACGGCGCTTCGCGCTTGGTGATGTGAGAGCCTGGTCCGGTGAGAACCCGGCGTGCTCCGTCCCGGCTTTGTAGGGATGCGAGGTCAATGGTCAAAGG